TATATATATATATATATATATATATATATATATATATATAATGTGTATGTGATGTTTGGATGTTATATATATATATAATGTGTATGTGATGTTTGGATGTTATATATAATGTGTATGTGATGTTTGGATGTTATATATAATGTGTATGTGATGTTTGGATGATATATATATATATAATGTGTATGTGATGTGTTGTATATATTTATGGCAGGCAGGGGGGGATTTTCATTCGAGGACTGCCATGGGCATGTACGAGTACGTGCTCAAGGCGGTGGAAGCCGGCGACGTGCTGCTCGAATGGGATTCGACCAAGGGCAAACCGCCGGTGCCGCTGCTTAAAGACGCGTTTGCGAACGAACGAAAGCACGCCAAGATCCTCAACTTCTCCATCGCATATGGAAAGACCCCGTTTGGTCTGGCCAAGGTAACGAGCAACGGCTTTATATCGAATCGGCTCCCTGCGCGATATATATATATATATAATAAGGAGGGGCATGGAACTATATGAGACCACAACCAATATGTCTATATATATTGGTTTTGGTTTCATTCTTTGTGTTTGACAGATATATATATATATTGGTTTTGGTTTGACTGTGTCAGATGTATATATATATTATATATATATATATATTGGTTTTGGTATTTCTTTCGTTGTGTTTGATATATATATATATATATATCTTGGTAGGATTTCAACGTGAGTCGCAAAGAAGCAGCGGCGACCCTCGAACGATGGTATGCTGATCGACCTGAAGTGAAGGTGTGGCAACAGCAAGCGATTGAAACGGCCAACAAGTTTGGGTACGTCGTCGTATATAAATATATATATATCGTTGAGCTCCATTTGTATATATATGCTTTGAAGTATGTAATACGTAGTAACGACATTTGAGTGTACGAATGTACATCGCTCTACGTATTAGCCCTAGTTTGATCATTTCTTGTTATTCTACATGTGTACATATATATACATTTATATAATATGCACATTCATTTCCGTACTACATACTATTTGTCGTTCGTTGATCTGCACCATGAAGTATAAAGCGTGAATATGATTATATATCTCAATGTTTTCTCAAATCCATTACTGGTATACAAATGGAATATTTAAATAAATTGGTCATATTGAATCACATGGTGCAAAGGTACGAGAAATATGGTACATTTTTCATAAGGAAACAATGAATGTTTACAATATATATATATAGTAAGCATCATGAACGCGTGAGTGTCCCAACTGTTCCTTGCATTGGCTTATCACGAATAGCATGTCCATGACGAACGATATAGATGTATATATATATACATATCGTGTCTCGAACATGATGTATATAGATATATATATATATATATATATACATCACGTTCAAGACACGAACCACCACTCTACATACATACAGTAATCATGGCTAAAATGTGGCTGACTTTTATGCTTACTCGCCAAATGTATCGATCGATATATTGAGGATTCAATACGAATTTCCAGACCCCGTCGAATCGAATCACGAATCGACGCTATTGGCTAATCCATTTTAGAGTGGATTTGATTGGCTCAAAAGGACAAGTATATTCAACCAATCAGAACTCCTGCGTGATTCAATATTGATTCGACAAACCAGGCGAATTTTAAAAGTTTATGGCAAATTCCCAATACTTTGTACTGAATTTTGTATGTAAAAAGTTGTGCTGTGGTGATTGATATCACACTAATTCAAGTCACACACTAATTCGACGTTGATGGTGGCTGATTGGCTAAATATATCCTATTCTTGTGTTTGGTTCCATGTCGTATCTCCAGTTTAGAAGAATATGGCGCAATATTGAATGTGTTCGTAGATACACGCGCACTCTGATGGGTCGGTACCGCATGCTTCCCGATGCGAAGACAGAGTCCAAGGGATTCAGTCAGCAAAAAGCCAAGTCGCATGCCGAGCGAGCGGCAATCAACACCCCCATCCAAGTAGATGGAATCCTCTGGATATCGCACCTGTCTGACCAACGATGGATGGATAGGGGGCCGCCGCGGACGTGGTGATGCGCGCAATGCTCAATATCCACCGGGATGAGCAGTTGCGGGCGATGGGATGGGAAATGGTGTGTCAGATCCATGATGAAATCATCATGGAGGGGCCGGCGGACTGTGCCAAGGAAGCATGTGCGCGCATGGTCAACTTGATGGAGAATCCGTTCGAGGCGCCGCTCAGTGTACGTTTGGAAGTCGACGCCAAGATCGAGTCGTCGTGGTATAAAGCAAAGTAACAAGGAAGCAAGCATATATTGAAGTGTATCTGCATTGACATGGAGGTTACTCTCGCTGGGTAAATGCCAAAATAACCATGACCCCCAACGCCAACACCTTCAACGCCGGGTAGTCGTTCATGAGAATCGTCGCGTACCCGAGATACGGCACGGACGCGCGCGCAATGCCGACAACATCATGTCGTTCCAACCAAAGCTGTCCCGGGGCGTACAACCCGCGATCGTGCACGTTGTTGTTGTCGCCCTTGGTCAGATACAAGTCGCGGCCGTCCGACGCGCGCGTGTGCAGGTCCAACACCCGATGGACGATGGGAATCTCACGGTCCTTGATCTTGAACACGATGATGTCTCCAATCTCCAACTTGGGCCTGTTGTTGTCCAGGAACAGAATGTCTCCGCGTTGGAATGCAGGCTCCATGCTCCCACTGAGCACCACCACAATGGGGCTTTCGCCCACCGTGAGTCCTATAAGTCCCTTCCAGACCATGAGCGCGCTGATGATCACCATGCCCAAGTTGAGGAACTGGTGCGTCAACTGCCGCTTGTTCTTGTATAACCGCCGAACTTCCTCCACCTGCTGCGCCACCATCTTCTTCATCGTGTCACCTTCGCTCCGTTCGGAGAATCCACAACAATGCTTGCAACGTGGCAGGAATTCAGAGATTGCTTATCCGGAATTCTAGGAGGGAGTACACTAGTACTAGTAGTAGTACTACTACACCATTTTTCGTTTAAGTTCAGGTTATTTCTGGTATATTTCGTCCAACGCTCGCCAAGCATTCAATATATTTCGTCCAGACCCAACTTCGTTTCATTATATTTCGACTGTGGGGGTGACATATACCGGACATTAATCTAACTATAATGCAACGAAGTAGGGTCTGGACGAAATATATTGAATGCTTGGCGAACATGGCGTCAATCAGTTGTGCGTTGGACGAAATATACCAAAAATAACCTGAACGAAAAATGGTGTAATGCGAAATAGACTACGGAACGATATTGGAGGAATGCATGTAAATTATGGTGTTACATAGATGTGGCCAACTTACAGTTAATGGTTAATTGACTGTGAGTTTGGATTATCATTTTTATGACATTCCTCCAGCTTGATGGGAATGACAGCGATCCATGGTGAATTCGACAGAAATATTAGAGAGGTTTATAATAATGCATGGTGAATTGCACTGACGCACTAGATACCCATGCTTCCATCACGACGGTGTCGTCGCTAATCTGAGGATGGTGGCTGTGGTGGGGTGCAGCAGACACGCAGTTCTTGCGAATCAAGGTCAACCCATCCAAACTTGGACAGCAGCTCCGCTCGGTAGTCGTTAGCACGTGCAGCCTTGAGCCAACCCAGACCAAGGGAAGCCGCCATCACAATCCAAAACAGAGCTCGGAAGTCTTGAAGGAATGGCAGTAAGATTGCCCTGGAATCGTGTGGTGGTTTCGGGTGACAGTGATAGCGGATTTGGGGGCGAGAGAAGTAGCGGAGATCGATCGCAATACGTAGGGCTCTGTATCCTATGGTGGCTAATTAACTGTGAATTCTGGCAAACGAGTACCGGTATGATCGCTGTTTTGCGAAGATTGCAATCTTATTACTGTATACTTAGTAGTTTCGCGGTGGAGATTAGTATGTACTACATATTATTAATACTACTTCGAAGTAAAAACCTGGTACTATTAATAGTATGTAGTAGCACTATTGAGGTGAATTGTGTTGGCCAATTTTCATTGGTCAGAATTAACCACAAAGTGTCAGCTTGACAGTGCTTTTGATTCGTTGATACTTGTATTGCTTTGAAATGACCAAATTTTCAGTTAACGTTACATGTGTAGTGCTGTCACTGGGCGGCTTCCAAAACCGACCAAAATTATTTTAAGTCGTCCGGAATTAAAATTCAATTCACAGTCAATAGACTTTCTTTGCGGAGACTCAAATAAGGTCTCAGCAAAGAAGACGCCTGGGGTCTCAAATCTGGAAGCCATCCAAGTTGGTTGAAATGTCTTACGTGAATTATTCATACATGTTAGTATGAGTTAGTTTAACGTTACTTGAGTCTGGGAGATGCAGGAAATGAACGAAAACACTCAATCATCTCGCATGTCGACTAAGTATGTCCCTTATGCAGCGTGCAGCTTCAAAATTTCGGGGAAACTGGCCAAAACATTTGAAATAATTGAAATACTTTGGCACATTCCATCATTCGGTTGTACAGTATACGAAGAGAGCAAGGTTACTAAGAAAACAATTTAACGTTAGCGTAAAAGTTGACCCCCTACAGTGGCGTTTGAAAAATGCGAAATGTACATGTTGTTCGGCTCTGAAAATATATCCACAAAACGACTCACTCGGTCTCTTGCAGCCCCAAGGCACTTCATGATCACTCCAAGCACCATGCTCCACTTGTCCCTTCCGACCAGATCAGCCCCCACAATCCGTGTCACCCCGCACTAGTAGCCAAGCCGGTCGCAATGCTTGTACTCGCCCTTGCTATGGCCCGCCTTGTGTGGTTGCAGTCGCGTGTGTGCTATGCTTCCCCCGTGGTTGTCTGTTGATTGCTTTGTCGTTGGCAATTGGCACGAAAGCAGGCAAAAAATCTATCACGAATGGCGCTTCGGCGGTGCAGCACCACTTGGCTCGGATGCATCGTCACGGTCAATTGAGTGACTTGGCGGGGTAATTCACCCTCTTTTTTTGCTTTTTCAGTGCCGTCAAGGCTGGTGCCATGTAAGCTGGCTGGCTGACCCATCCCGTGCAGTAGTGAAGCTACAAAGGAGAGCAATATTTGCACAAGTTAACCCAATTTATACGCCCTTTTTCGCAGGGTGAAAACACACCCGCAAGCAGTAAAGTGGGGGAGGGATTATATCGCTGTTTGTTGTCAGTCAACATAGTAGTATTCCACCACAAATTCCCATTGACTTCGTTCTACCGAAGTAACGTTACAGTAGTTACTGTAGAACACCTACCATGAACATCAGTACACTGAGCACCAGGTGCCTGTACCTATGTACGAGTTTTTTGTGTCTTTTAGGCGCTTTCCTCAGGTACTAGACAGCCAGCCACATCCACGGAACATCGAAGGATGTCGGGCTCTAGCTAGCATCTACAGCCAATTGCTCTGATCAGTTCCTAACCTAATTCACTTTCAGCTTCACCGGCATTCCCTCATGTATGCTCCCAAACTCCTACACCCTTTCACAAGCCCCCCACCACGTTCATCTGTGGGGTTTAGCACCACCCCTCCAACGATTTCCCCTACATGGAACTACCCCTCGAATAAAAATCACCCCCCGTATTTGAGGCTTTTGAGGCGTGTATTCGACCTGTACCGGTGTTGATCAGGTTTCACTTACATTGTCATAGGTACCGAAGCGGGGGGTATACGGTAGCACCACTTGACGACACCATCAAACAGTAACGTTACACCAAATCCAACCCATAACCAAGTCTCCGCAACTCTATCACAGTAGCAAACTTCCATGTATTTTTCTCCCTGCTTTGAATGTGGTGGAGCTGGCAACTCGAAAGTGTGTGCCACTCTCTAATCTGATCGTACATTGTGTGTACTAACGTTAATAGTCAATGATTAATAGTAATCAATCTGGTACTAGTTACACCAGAGTATGTTCATCATAGAATGTCAAGAGTCGTGGCGACACTCTTGCGTGTCGCGTGCCGGTTTATAGAACCAGTGATGTTACTGAAACGATCGTCTTAATCTCATCGAGAGTGCTACAGTATTGGGCCTCAATCTCAACCGTAGAACTACTAGTATGGGGAAATTGTATCGAAGAATCAATATGGTATTAGTACGCTGGTGGGGTCGGCCGTAATGATGTGTAATCGGGAGGATAAGACGTGAATACACTTACGTCAGAAACCGACGACTCCACTGATGCAGATCCAACCAATCACATTACCCCCTTTAGGTCCTAAAGTCTACTAGTACACGACAATAGGTCTATCCAGAGCGGGTTAAATGCTACAGTACAGCTGTTACTTGCCTTGTCCATCGTTGGAGCTACCACCCACCACCTGTATAACTAATATATACCAATACGTATACTACCGGTAGTACTTCCAAGAAAACTGAGCACAAGGCTGTGCAAATGACTGCTATACACTACACTAGTACTACGTACTTTAGTAGTCCTTATTTCTTCACTGTTCGAAAATGAGACCTGTATTGACCTGCCTACAGTACAGTACCCCTTGAATCATCGTATGCAAATAAAAATACTTCGAAAATGACAACGCTAGCAATCACTGGACGTTCTTCTGGATATGATTTCAGACAATTTTACACTGGTATTGATTGTGGTATTGAGGACGAAGTAGTACAGTTATTAGTATCACATCAATGGGTGGCAATTCTCTTACAATTGCCAGTCGAGAAGAAAATCCGGGGCTCTACTACCTCATATCCCTTCGAAACAATAACGGTGCCACCACAAGACTTATGCGCCTTCGTCTAGACTTTTAGCCTCGATAAGTATTTAGGTATAGCACTTTAAAAGCCACGGCTATGATGTAACCTTGCAATCGATAACGAAAAACACGTGCGTACAGCTCATATCCCTCAGCCATCAAGCTAAGCGTCATATTCTTCAATATGTAGTACGATAATATGGGGTTTATAGTATGCTTCAAGATGGCCTTAGGAACATTTTACACCTTCGACCCCAATAACGCCCCAAACTGTATTGACTAAACAATAAAGTTCATCGTTGTATGTCGACTTTGTTGGATTCGAATGCGGTGGGATATTTAGATGCATATTATGAACCGAACTGTATGCACGAAACCAAGATATATGTTGTTTCGCCTCTCCATGATGGTCACTTCAACGTGGCACGCCATGCGGCGCAAAAGACACCGAAACATTCCCACCACCCCAGCCACAACACGAGACAGTCCGACAGCCTCCACTATCACGCAGCATACATGCAGTCCACGACCCCGCCGCCGCCACAGCTTCCGTCAATGGCATGTCGTCCGCTGTCCAAGCATGAACACTCCATGTACATGAACATTTGCACGTCGTCGTGCCAAGGACTGATTGAGAACGCGCTCTCGTTGGCGCGTTCCCCCGTCTCGTCCACTTTGCACTGCGGCACCACGATGCGCGATGCCACCGTACGCCGTCACACATTATTTATACGATGGCGTTTCAGTTTTTTCACATCCAAGTGGGTAGATCCACCGCGGCCGCGACGTTGTCGACATGTCGTTGGTTGCGCTGTGTGCCGTGACCAAACTCGAAGCCACGTTGAGTGAGGTAGCGGCTCAGTACGCCCTGCTTCCCACCGATCAAGCCATGGATTCCCCACATATGGTCGACATGGAGCGGCGGCACCGCTCCATCCTAGGATCGCATGTCGTCGCTAGGAAGCAGCTGTACTGCCTTGGCGGAGCTACGCCAGCCATGCCGCTACATTACGCTGGGCTTGTCTGGTATGTCCATGCGGCGTCGTTGCCGCTGTGTGCCCGTCGAGACTTTTGCGTGCTCGAGGTAGGTTCCTCGTATATATTAGTATATATATTATATCCAGCAATGATACTACGTATTCTATCCCCCACGTACGTATGCTCGTGTACTATGTGGTATCGTATCGTAGTACTACTAGGAATTGTACTATTAATAGTAGTATGTTCCATCATGTCTAGATTTTCTTTTACAGTACTGATAGTCGACACCTACGGGGGCTTCTGATAACATGTACTATTATTAGTATCAATTATGAGATCATGGTTTCTATTTTATTCTTCATCGAATGAAAAAACGCGTTTATTCGATGTGAAAGTATATAATTTAATACGGTGAAAAATGACCCATGTTGAAATTTTGGACGATCGTTTTAGCGAGATTATCAATATTGAGGATGTGTTTAAATACTTCCTTTGTAGCTTGGCATGTGAGCTACAATGTTTCATATTAACTGTTTATTGCTAGCATTTATGCAGCAAAAAATATTTTCAAACACCCCCCTCAGAACAGTCGACTACTGTTAATTATTTGGTTCTTTGGAATGATGCAAGCAAAGTAGTACGATTTGTAAACAACTAGTACCTCATATCCTTCGAACCCAGGCATATATAATTAATTGGATATTAATTTTAATATATTTTTTCGTTCGAACACACTTATCAATGCTGCTACTAACTACATGGTACCGTTTATTTTCGATTCTTGATGTTGTACATAACGACCATATTGTAACTTTTACAACGTTCACGTGAGTATTTTTTGATCGTGTGTGTTTATTACTCTCGTCATTGGTTTTATTCCGTTTGAAAACGAATCAATTCGTCGTTAAATATTTATTACCCAAACTTGGCTGACTTTTGTGCTGAATCGCCAAATCCATCGATCGATTCGTTGTACTGAATTTTGAATGTGAAAACGTGTCCTGCGGTGAATTTGTATCACAGTAATTTCAGTCTCACACTAATTCGATGTCGGTGATGGTTTCCTGTAATCTGATTGGCTCAATACTACTACTCTTGTCTATTCTTGTGTACATGTAATTGGTCGATTCATTCTCAATGTCGCCCCAGTTTAGATTAATACTCACAACCATATCGTGTTGTATAATATAGTATCACAACCAAGTGGACGTGCTCGATGGACACAATAAAAGGCGCAGAGGATGGCTACGCTGCCTCCAATCAGTGGATCTCGTCGGGTGTCCATCGCTACGATCGGCCAGAGGGTACATTCGGTCGTCTATGTTTCGGGTATGCCAACAAATCCGTATTGACACGATGAAAAACAAAAGAATATATATATATATTCAAAGAATTATTTGT